CATGAGTGGTGTGAACCTTTGATCTTTTACTCATAAATTCTATGCCTGATACTACCTTTCTCACTAACACCTGAAGAAGGACTGAGGCTCTGAAAGCGTGTGTTTCTAAATAAACCTGTTGGACTATAACTTGGTGTCATGTGATTTCTGAGTCCAATGCTGGCACCTCTGCATCATGCATACACAATACAGGTAGTTCTGCTATAACGTGTGTTTTGTTAACGTGAATTGGCTGTAATGTGATTGATGAATAGTGGACGCTGTTTGCCTAATGTAAGCTTTCTGTTGTGCAGATAGTGATTTTCTATAGCAATTTCCCTATTATGCGATTTTCTGCAGCGCAAGGTCATGCAAGAACACAACTATTGCGTTATAGGAGAACTACCTGTAACCAAGGAATGCTTGTATGTAGGCAGACATTTCTATAGCAAAATAATGGTAACAAAAGTAAGCTGGATTTTCATCAAAACATTTTATCTCTATAAATTTGCAAATAATTTATTGGACAAATATAAAAGAGGAAGAAAGCCATTGGAAAGATTTATTTTTATTTGGTTATTGATATTTCAGTAGTGGTTTCTAAACTTAAACCCTCCTCTTGGACCTGGCTTTTAAAAATTAATTATAACAGTCAGGAAATGATAAGTATTTGGGAAACATAATTAAAATAAACTGCAAGTGAGCAATGCTGCCTGTTGCTCAAGTCTCCAATTTTCCTCATTCTTTTATGTTGAATAGATGAGCCGCAATGATTTGTTGAGGAGGGAACTGTTAATTTATAAATAACTTTGAAAAAGTTTCTGCTCAATTACTGCTTTCCAGCACTTGCCAGAAACAGGACCCTCCTCCCATTTTCTCCCACAATAAAAACACACAGCTCTAAAAATTAAAGGAGGAATATACATTGGGTCTCAAGTTCTGAGGTTCTAGTCTGAAGGTAATCATTTGTCTCTTGCGGTCTCTCTCCAATTTAGGGAAAGGATGCTTTTTCCATTTCAATTCTTCTGTTTTTTTTCTCACGGTACTGCTGCAATCATTGGATTGTGTCTTTGGAGGAGTGGGACAGAGGAAACCTGCAGTTGGAGGATCTGGAGCAATAAGCAAAAGACAAACAGAATCTGTGATTGGATGAGCGGTTCTCTCTTGTGTTTTCTGGTTTTCCAGTTAAAGTATGCACATTTTCCTACTTTGAATGAGATGTCTTCATCCATGTCTGCAATTTGGCATCTCTATATTACTGGAGGAACCTTAATGTGACATAACAGTGTGAGGGGCGGAGGGGTGCTAGCTTGAATTAAGCTTTCTCTCTTTCACTGGCTACTTGCCTTCGTTTTGAGGGTGAATTCGCCTGTTGCCCATCTGTACTTTGAACTCTGTTCTTGATGATAGTGAAGCTTCTGGCGAAGCATGGAAAACTGGCAGCCATTGGATGTTACTGTCAGTAACTTTTTGAAAATGGTGAGTTCTGATACCTCTCCATTAGTTTTACATCAAAATGTGGGTTAGTAGTCTCTTGTGAACCATGAAACGTATTCAACTCTGAACATTCTAAACTACGGCAAGAGTAGTTAGTTACATAAAGATTTTTATTCATTGGCGTTGGTCACATTAAGTATTCAGCTGTTTTAGAAATAGTTGACTTGAAGCCACACACAAAACTTTTGTATTAATATATTGCATGCACATAAACATCGCAGTTTAATATGGAAAAGTAATAATCTCGTTTACAAACTGGGGGAAATAATGACATTGTGCAAGTGATTTGAGAGGGATTTGTCTCTGCCACTGACATAAGGATATTTTTGCACCAATGTAGTTTACTTAATCACTTTTTTATCAGTGGTTTTGTAATCTTAAAAAAAGTTGAGGATTTTCACATTCTTTCATAGATAAATGGAAGGCATTTGCTTATTTGCCTTCCCCACTGTCACTGCCAATGAAACATTTACATGCCAATGAATAGTGAGTGGAGAGAATTCTTTCCTATACCGCTGTGTAATATTAACTGCATAAGCTTTGTCTCTCAATGTTTGCTGATGCCTTGCAGCAAGTCATGTAGAAGTTAGAAATATATTTATTAACATTTACGGTGTAGTGCCTGGAAGAGTGTCAAATCTAACTGTGAGGTACATTTGTTAGCATTTATGCAATTGACTAACAAAGTGTTTTTTTTTAATATCTAATTTAACATTAATTAGAATTCACCTTTATGATTTATGTGCATCAGAGGTTAGATGACATAGCTGGTAGTGGTCTATGCCTTCGGCAACTACTACTTAGCTCTTAAGACTGGGTTTCATTTGATGGAGGAGGAAGTGATGAGTGAATTTTATTTCCAACAGCTGGTGAGGACCACAGTTGCCTCTCATTTCATAAGTTGTTCTTTCTTAAATTTGAAGCGGAAAGATTTTACTGGTATCAATTTAGAAACTTGTGGCTTGGAGACAGGAGACTAGAGAAAATATGATTTTTTTTTAATGTTTTGTTTTATAAACTTGGATTTATTATCTTCTACTGAATATTGCTTGTTGTATCCAGAGATTCCGAATTTATTTTAAAAAAGCAAAGACTATCACAACATAAGTTTAAAGTCTTTTGAAGTTGTTCAGTGTGATACAGAAAAGAATAGGTATTGCAGTTGAGTTAAATATAAACAAATTGTGCAAGCTTTACCCCTGCTGTTGGAAAATACTCTTGTCCCCTTTAATTATTTTTGATTCCTTAGTTCCCAAGATTGTAAATGGCATTTTAATAAAATAGTATGCACCTTTTCTGAGACTGAGGTTCTGATGTGGACAGATTCATGTAGGAGTCTTTGCATGATTACTTGCCCTAAAATGGTAACAAATCCCAAGGAACAGGTATTCTCTTGTATGACAAAATCAATTATACCTATTAATTTCTTAAATAGTAGATCTCTGATTGGAATTGCTGGTGGTGGGAGGGGACATGAATTATAAAAGTGCTTTTGTTTATTTATATTGTCTAGCTGAAAGTATGGGCAAGTACTTTGCTTGCAGGCCTAAGAACAATATTATGCAGGGAGGCAGAGGTTGCATGACTGTCTGAGATGATTGACTTACTTTCTCTTTCTGTAATAGTAAGTCCTGTACACAGAAAAAGATGGGGCAGTTGAGTAACTTGCTCCTAGGGGATAATTGCAAGTGGTTTAATTAGGTGATGATTCCTTTAACAGACTGGTAGGTAATGTGGTGATTTGGCTGGAGGCATAAACCCATGTCTGTCTACACAAAATGTCATCGTTGCATCACTCTGCTGTTTTTGCCCAATGTTCAGTGTGGTTAGAAAGCCTAGACCAAAGATAAAGCCCGTCTTCACTGCTTACAAAAAAAATACCCTACATACAGCAGAACAAAACCGGATGTGAAGGATTTGAAAAATTGCTGAGGTGAAAGACAAAAGTTTTTGGCTTTTTTGACCTTCTCATCATTTTTTTCAGAACTTCAAGACTGAAGATTTCCAAGAGCAGTGGTTAATTGACCTTCATTACTGCTTCAGACTCTACCTTACAACACAGCACAGAAATTCAGCTAATTTTGCAGTAACCTATTGAAATGTAAGAAATTCAGCAAAATAGTGGTACCTGCTCTTAAGAAATGCTACATCAAAAACCAATTAGATATGAGGGTCTTGCAGCGCTATAACTTTACAAACATATGAAATAAATACCGTGTGCTTCGATGTTGCTCAGGATAGAAATCTTTAGCTTGAAACCATAGGGATAGCAATGGTTCATTTGTTTGATACTGAAAATTAGATATACCCATTGGTTGAGAGTGGTGTAGCATTTTTCGAGATTAATGCAGTTTTATTCTGTAAGTATGCATGGAGAATATTCTATACTCCATATTATTCACAAGAAATTTGTTTGCAATAATATTTCCAGACTGTCCTCAGTGAAAGTGTAAAGATTTTGATAAACTTGCAGAACTGTCTTTTCATTGCAGTTTCTTGAGAACCAATTGCACGTGTGCCTGAAAATGTATCCTAGCTACTTTCAAACTTATTTCTGTCTCTCTGACCAAAGTCATTTTTGTCACATTCCATTAATACTTTAGTGGTGACAGAAAAACTTGCAGCTTTCTTTGTAAAAATGCAACTTGATTCTTTCCAGAATTTTCAACTGTGAATCTTGATTATGTATCCTTTCACCGATCAATCTGTATGACAGTTCCTTTTTAATGGCAAGAATTTACTTGTTTTTGTTGTGAACATGTATTTTGTTACAGAAATAAAAAAATCTTTATTGAAAATGTATATATTGATTTAATAAAAACTACAAAAATAATCTTTAATAATGAGACATTTCTGATACAGAAAGTTGTTTTAACAGGGCAACAATAAATATTTCCAGATACATTTAAACATAGGTGAAGCAGGTCTATAACTATTATAACAAAGAGCAAGTCATGCAAGTTGTGCAGTACCATCAAATAATATTGTTCAGTAGCGTAACATTTATTGTATTTGCATGAACCAAAGGTGCTTGCAGCATAATAGCTAATTGCTGTAGTTTGAAATTTTTTCTAAATGTGAAAGATAATACTGTACCTTGGGTGCTTGCAAGTGAGTGGTTAGGTGATATTTAATCTACATATATTACATTGTTTTACAGTAATGAAAAGATATATTGGTTATATATAATTTAATGTGAATTATCCAGTTATGTGGGATTAAGCAATTTTAATAAAACAGACAAGTAGAGTTAATTTAAATTTACAAATAATTGTAATTAGAAGTAGCCTAATATAAATGAAGGTATAACATTACTTCATCCTAACACATCCTATTATATCCAATTGTCAGATTTTTACCTCTCTGCTGGAGAGATTCAATGGAAATGTATCTTTCGCTAGATTTGTTTACCAGCTACAAGAGCAAGGGCAGCAGATGTAAAGAAACACCAGGACTTGTAAGTTCCCTTCCAACTGCACACCATCCTGACTTGGAACTATGTTGCTGTTTCTTCAGTGTCACTGGATCAAAATCCTGGAACTCCCTCCCTGTCAGCACTGTAGGTGTCCTAACGCTCTAAGGACTGCAACAGTTCATGAAGGTAGCTCACCACCACCTTCTCAGGCAATTAGGGAAATATATATTAGCCAGCAACTCCTACACCCCATGAACGAAGAAAAGTGTTGATTATTACTATCAACAAGAAAATCTGAGAGGGGTTGGTTGTTTGAAGGATGGCAATAGTGTTCAAATTTATATATTCATTACATATGCATCTTTCAGTTGAATGATTTTGGTTTAATGTTTTCTTAGATATGGGTGGCCCCAAAGATTTAGTTGCCTAAAATAAACTCCTTGATTCTGTGGCAATGAATAGAGTAAGTATAAATTTAAGTTTATATACTTTTATTGTACTTTTTAACTTTTTCAATAATACTCAACCATTTAAATTTCTCTCACTGGTTGGTTTGAGTGTCTTAACATTAATGAACTGCTAACATGATTAATTGAATATAGTCCAGTTAATTGTTTCATTTGGGTTATTATGTAGTAGTACAAGTTTGAATTGGTACTAAATTAATAAAGATAAGCAGAATATAAGAAACCAGTAAGGTGTGGAGTTGATTAGGAGTTGATAGTTGCAATGGGCCTACAAATAAATTTAAAATCAATACAGTGTGGAGCTAGAGGAACACAGCAGATCTGGTGTTCCTCTAGCTCCACACTTTATTGACTCGGAGTCCAGCATCTGCAGTTCTTGCTATCTCCAAATACATTTAAAGGATTAAAGTGTGTTTAATTTAATCACCTTTTTAAGATAGCTTAATTTAACAAAGTTATTGGAGAGTCTTGTATACAATGTGAAGTCTTGGACACTTGGTGTCTGAAAATGACTACACTTGCACAATGTGTCTGCCAATGTACTGAGGAAGAAAACAGGACGACCATTCATTGGAAGTAGGAAATGGAGTTGGTGCAAGTGGGTCAATGCCTGCTCGAGTTTAAAAGGCTGTGATTTAACATTTTTTCAGCATTTATGAAAGGTTTGGAAATAGAGATGATTTCCTATTCATTTCTTTGACCTAGGTGTTAAATCAACCAATCTAGAATTATCACGGTGATGAAAGCAGTTAGAGAAATGTTGCTATTTGAGAGGATTCCTGGAACATGGAAAATATTCCCAGAAAAAGTTCACAGTAAACACTAATGTAGGACACTTCTTAATAAATGTTAGTAGAGAAAGGTGAAAGGTGATAGAGATGAGAAAGGTTGGTCAGCTACATTTACAAAGCTGAGATTTCATCCTGAAAGCTGTGAATATTTTTGGACATAACAGGGGAAATAAATGAAGTAACATGTATCAAAAATTAAAATGAATAGAATTACTAAACAGGTGTAATGAGCTGCATGTTAAATTCACAATGATTTTCAAATGAAATTGTTGATATGAGGAAAATAAATTGATGTGAGGAAAAAATAACCTTAAGAGACCTGTTTAACCCAGGTTGGTCAAAAATATGCAATATCTTAGCTGTGAAAATTGTCAGTAACTACAGCAACAAACAGGTTAGTGGACTGGTCAACGTAGAATTGGAGGTGAAATATTTTGGAAAGAAAAACTAGAGAAAATATATTTTAATGCTAAAACTTTCAAAAGAGAATCTGAACAGAAATCTTTGGTTTCATAAGTAGGGATGTAATGTCTAAAAGCAGGGAGAATGTTAAATATGAATGATTATCTGGTTAGACTTCAATAAGACTTGCAATAAGTCATGGAACTGTTGCGGTTGTGCAAGTGGGATACATGAGAGAGATAGAGAGGAGTAGAGACTAGGGAAACTAGCTGTTACGTATCCAAAATCATGAAAGCTTTTGAAAAGGGTAATAAGGAAAAGCAATTTCTAATTGTAGTGAATTCATAACTAAGATGATAAATTGTTGTCCAACATAAAATCCACGTGGACTGAAGGGGCAGGTAGGTTTACAAAAATGGCTTTCGGGATTTGAATCCCATCCCAGAATCCATGTAGTTTTTATAGGGAATGTGGATAAAATATGAAAATTACGATTTTTAAATGGTGTGGATACTGCAGAGTTGACACTGGCCTATGGGGAGAAATGGCGGCCACTAGTAATATAACAACTGTTACATTTAGATGATATAGTAGTAAAATATTTTTTGGTGTTATTTAATAGCTGTAATCTATATCCTGGTTTTAATGTCTCAAGAACATGTGTCCAAATGTACTTGACTCCGTAAGCCTTGGTGAAGTGCACAGGGAACCAGTACAATTCCATAAACTGAATTTGGCACATTTTCACTACGTACGTTATTGGTTACAATCCTGTGTCACTACTTATTCTTTTGGTCTAGCTTTGGAGGTCTTTGAAGTGTGTGGTCTCATGTTGTAGGAGAACTGTTTAGAATTTCCAGTGTTTCCCAGGAGCTGAACATGCTGAAGTTTACTCACTGTGGATAAAATTAGACATGTAAAAACATAATTTATTGATTGTACAATAATGTTTCTATGTAAGTATCTGTTTTGTTAAATTATTTTCATGATTCAAGATATTTCTCTCTTATGTACTTGGCAACAGAGAGGGCTCCTCTGGTGCAGCACTAGTATCCCTACCGTTGAGTCAGAAGGTCTGGATTCAATACGTTCTGTATAATGCTATCTGTGAGCAGGTTGATTAGGAAAAATGTCTGTATTTGGCAATGGAAGTACAAACCAGATAACCTTCGAGACGTTCATTGGTGTAATTTGAGCCTCTTGATAAGCTGCTTCCAAATTCCAGCTCTTAATGTGTCAGCTTGTTGCATTTAAAAATTAGCCATGAAGATTTCTGCTTCTACACTCTTTCTGGACTATCTCATTTGAAAGAGATCTCCACTGCGTCCCCCTCCCCAATACTTTTGCTGATCACTGTTCGTGGCCCAAGTTACTGATCCCTCTACTGAAGGATATAAATGCATTATTCTATCTAGGCCCCACAATTCCAAAGAAAACATTCTCAACTTATTCAATCTTAATGTATAGCTAAAATTCTCAATACTTGGTTAAAATCTCAAAATTTCTGACTGCAGCCTATATAGAAGGACAAGAAGTGTACACCATACTCTTGCTCTGTAGCAACTAGGGTTTTATACAGTTCCAACATAACATTCTTGTTGTATATAAAAGTAAGTGTTGACATTTCAGTTTGTTCTGTTTCCCGTCAGGCATGAACCCTTTATTTCCCTACCCATGTCAGTATGCTAGCATTCAAACAGCTGTCATTAGTTCACTCTAAACTTGTATAAAACCGTGCTTCAACTTCCACTTGCAGCACTGTATCCAGTCTAGGTGCTGCACTTTAGGGAAGATGGGAATACTTTGGATAGAGTATGGAAAAACTTCGTGAGAATGGTCCTCCAGATGAGGAACTTGAATTATGTAGATTCATTGAAGAAATTGAGACAGCTGTCCTTGGAAATGAGGTTGAAAGGAGATTTGATAGAGGTATTCAAAATTGTGAGCATTCTGGATGGAGTAGGTAGGGATAATTTCCTACTGATGGCAGAATCGAGTATAAAAAGGCACAGATTTAAGAGCATTTACAAAATAAACATTGGAGACAGAAGGAGAAGTCTTTTCAAACAGAGAGTATTTAAATTCTGGACTGCACTCCCTGACAATGTGGATTCTGGTCCAGTTGAGGCATTTGACTGGAAATTTAATTCTTATATGTAAAAGATGGCGTACAGGGGAGAAGGGAAGGCAATGGACCAAAGTGCATTTCTCAGTTGGACAGAATAGTCTCCTCAGTTGTAACAATTGTGATTCTGTGATCTCCCATCCTGATACAACACAATGTCTGCAGTTCAAGCTCCAGCTCAACAGCTCTGATGTGAAGTTTCTCCCACCTGTCTTTTTTTTTTCCCAGTGGTGATTTGCCATTGCCTTCCACTCTTAGGACCAGAGCAAGAGGAAAGGTCCTAAGTCTACCTCAGTTGGAATGGAATTTTAACTTAAGGTCTTGGCATCATTCTGAATCATACATTAGCAAACTAAACAGCTGAGCCAACCTGCCCCTCCCGTCAGTGTATATGTGACAGAGTTGTTAGGAAATTACCAGTGAATAGGGTTGCCTTACACCTTGGTAATGATATGGCAGAAGAGAACGCCTCGCCCATAATCACAAAATGCTCGAATGAGATGAAAGAGACAGAACAAATACCGGCACTAGTTCCAGAATTTTCCTTTGTGTGTGGTGACCAGAGCAATACCTAACAAAGATGATCAGCAGAGGTCAAAGTGATACCACAAACAGTTCTTAGAGTCACTGAGACTTTCTTTAAAGATGTGGATAACTCAAAATAAGTATTGAGGAAATCTTGGTTAATTGAACCTTGAAAAGCAAATCCGGAGTTACACAAACTGAGGCTAAAAGAGTTCCAGAGTGCTAAAAATGAGGAAGTCAGAGATTTCTACATAAACCTGCCAAAGAAAAGTGGATGGTTATTCAGCTAGTGATATTGCCCTGATATTGTAAAGAGATAGAATGCAGGTAGCCAATTAAATTCATATAGTAGGGCATGTAAGAATAGAGAACATGCAAGCATTGAGACATAGCATTTTTCTTGGCCATGTGTCCACAAAGATTTAATGCAATTCTGTAAAACATGTCAATTATGTCAGGTTATGAGAAAACCTCAACATATAATCAGACTGGGACCATTACTACCCATACCAGCTTTTGAAGACCCATTCAATAGGGTATTAGACTGTTGGATTGTTGCCAAAAACAAAAGCAGGACACCACTGTATGCTTATAATAATGGATATAAATTGGTTTCCAGAATCTTTTCCAACAGTTAAAGTAGTGTAACAAAAGTAAAACTCAATTTTTCACTCATTATAGACTGCCGGTCGAAATACACTTGGATCAATGTTTCAACTTTACGTCTTAAAAACTTTCAAGACATAAGCAGAAACTTGAATATAGTTGTACACCAAGTCCACAGCATATCAACCACAAGAGGAGCTTCACAGTGAAATCATCAGACTGAAAGCACGATTCAGTGGTCCATAAAGGTTTTTAAGAGGGTTAATAAAATAATCTGATAGACACTTCAGACCCTAGGAAGAAGAATCAGTTGTGTGATGCAAGTATGCTGAAACAATATTGCTGCAGAGAGGAAGGTAAGGAGTAAATACCGCAGGTAGTAAGGATAGTGGAACATGACAAAGGCAGTGAGCATGAAGCAGAAAGAGATGTAGACAATTCATCAAAATGAACCCCTGATTATCCACTTAGCCTGCCCTGAAATAATGGGACAGTTAGATACTGTATTCTTATACATAGAGGAAGGACAATGTAAATATCTGGTAAGATTAGATATCAATCTAATTATAGAAGGAAAGCTGTATAGATAAAGCAGGTGTATAATTTTAGCCATCATGATGTGAAGGAAACAGTACATAAAACATCATGTTTCTCTGGTCTTGGCTATAAGCAAGTTCAGGTGAAAGCACAGATTCAATACACATTAGAAAATCAGTTAATTGAACCTAGCCGAATGAGTTCACAACCCTTAGAGATGAAATCACTCCTCACCTCTGTCTTAAATGTGTGACCCTCCTGTTAGACTCAACCACCAGTCGTCACTCCCTAATGAGAGAGCAGCCCCATGGTCCTCTGGTTACTTTATTCTGATTATGCCCTCTGGTATTAGACTTTTCCACAAGGGGAAACTATCTTTCTTCATATACTCTGTCAAATCCCCTAAGAATCTTGTACATTTCAATAACGTTGCCCGCATTTGCAGGGAGGTGATGGCCTAATGGTATTATCACTGGACTGTTAATCCAGAGACCCAGATAATGTTCTGGGGATCCAGGTTTGAATCCTGCCACAGCAGATGGTGGAATTTGAATTCAGTAAATATCTGGAATTAAGAATCTAATGATGACCATGAATCGATTGTCGGGAAAAACCCATCTGGTTCACTAATATCCTTTAGGGAAGGAAACTGCCATCCTTACCTGGTCTGGCCTGCAAGTGACTCTAGACCCACAGCAATGTGGTTGACTCTTAACTGCCATCTGGGCAATTAGGGATGGGCAATAAATGCTGCCTAGCCAGCAACACCCTCATCCCGTGAATGAATAAAGGAAAAAAAAAAATTCTTCTACATTCCAATGAATACAGGCTTGATCTACGCAACTTCTCCTTATAAGATGGTCACTCCACACCTGGGATCAGCTGAATGAACTTTCTCCGGACAGTTTCCAGTGCCGATATATATTTTAACTATGTTTCTTTTTACTTTGTTCTTAAGATTCTATACCATGGGTGGTGACATTAAACACTTCACTGTACTCCTGCACTTGAGTGCACATGACAATAAAAATCAAATCAAATAGGTCTTTCCTTAGATAATTGATCACAATATTCCAACTGTCATCTGACTAGTGTCTTGCATAGGTTTTTGAGGAAGAATTAATGTAAGTCTGAGTTCTGTGGTTTATATTGAGTAGGTTTTCATATTTATATCATAGTGAAACACACTTGAAAATGGTGTTTCATTTCCCAAGGACGGAAACATGTTGGGAATAGAGTCTTAAAAAACACTACGGAAAGGAAATTGGAACATGTAACCATTTGAGGAATTTCTGTTTTGAAGAAGGCTTAACATGTAACTTCTTGGAAATGAAAAGTCAAACAGATAAAATGCATGGTGATTCAGGTACTGTTTAGAAGAAGTCAGAAAACTTTGTAGAAAGCAGACAAGGAAGCTTTTAAGAGAGATAAGTGATGAGGTTTCTGGCTTTAATTATTGGACATAATTGGTTTGGAAGCAGTCCTGTGCTGCTAAGCAGCAGCATTTAAACTAAATTTGCTATTTCAGTATACATCTAAAGGAGGCAGTTGACAGAACAAACCTCCAAGAAGCTACCAGAAAAAATAAGGAATAAAGGCAAAATACCATGAATGTTGGAAATCTTAAATAAGCATATATGATGCTGGAAAAAATCAGCAGGTCTGCGAGAGTCCATGGTGACAGAAATAAAAGTCTCTTTCTGCAAAAGAAGAAACCTTGCAGAACAAGCTGTACAGATCTCTCAGTTAAGTGTCTTCTGGGAACCTAAGGAAATTGCAGAAACCAATATCCTTAGCTTCCCCGTGAAGTTCAGGTATCATCCTTGTAAACCGGCATTGAATTCCCTCCAGGGCCAAAACATCCATCCTAAGGTGTGGTGCCCCAATCTGCTCTCAGTACTCTAAGTGGGATCTAACTTGGGTTTTGTATGACTGCAGCGTAATGTCTGCATTCTTATACTCCAGACCTTTCGATATGAAAACCAGCAATTCATTAGCCTTATTGAATAATTTCTGTACCTGTTCATGGCATTTTTAAGAGCTTTGCACCTGACCCCTGAATCTCATTGGACATTCACTGTACTTAACTTTATGCCTTCTGAA